TTTAAAAACGTCAATATTTAAGAAAGTACAATGCAACTTAACAAATATCTTGTGAACTATTGACATTTTCAAAGATATAAGCTCATCCCAATGTTAAACTCATCGAGATCTTTCATTTGAGTACCTACATGCATTTTTGATATATTTTTCATATATCCATATATATTATATATAAATATATGAAAAATATATCAAAAATGCATGTGGGTACTCAAATGAAAGCTCTTGATGAGTGTAACATCAGGATGAGCTTATATCTTTAAAATTATCAATATTTAAGGAAGTACTTACTTGTGTTTTTGAATTTCACTAATCCCGCCTTTTTGATATCCCAATCGTTCGGCAGGGTTATCGCGGCAGAGTTTTTTAATTAAATTAGTAGCATTTCTGGTGATAGTTCTTGGAAATCCTATAGCGTCAATTCCCTTCAAAATAATATTGTAAGTTTTCATGGGGTCTGCGCCAGTGAATGGAGGTGTACCGGTCAATAATTCGAACATTAGAACACCCAGTGACCAATAATCGGCACTAATATCGTGACCTCTGTTTAAAATAACTTCTGGCGCAACGTACTCCGGCGTGCCGCAGAATGTCCAAGTTTTTTTTCCGTGATCCAAACGTTTCGCGAAACCAAAGTCCACTAATTTAACATAACTGAAAAAAAAAAAAAAAAAGAAAATCAAGTTAGTTAACATTTAAAAATTTTTATTACAAAAAAAAATTATTTGTATAAAATTTAAGTGCAATTTAAAAAAATATTTCTTTATTTTAAATCAATATAAATGAAAAAAAAAATCTAAAATTTAATTTTGTGAAGAAATAAGTAAATTTTTATCAAAATTAATTATAAATAACTAATTAATTATAAATTGTAATAAATAAATTAAAAAAAATTACCCATGACTATCTAGCAGTAAGTTTTCCGGTTTTAAATCGCGGTAGATGATATTCCGGGAGTGCAAGTAATCAAAAGCTTCAACGACACATCCGGTGTAGAACCTGGTGGTTCCATCATCAAAGTGACCTTTATCACGTAAAATGGTCCACAGTTCTCCACCAAGGCAGGCCTCCATCAGCATGTACAGATACTTGCGGTCTTTGAATGTCTTGAACAGTTTTACGATAAAGTCCGAATCAGCTTCACCCATGATTCTTTTTTCGGACATAATGTGCTGCTGCTGACGAGTCTCTACAATTTGTGATTTCTTCATTTGCTTGAGAGCAAACGAACGGCTACCATCACCTTTTATTTGGACTAATTCTACTCGACCGAATCCACCAACTCCTAAGGTTGCTAGTGAATGGAGATCTCCCAGACGTAAATCACGGAATTCTTCGTTTATTCTAAACAAAAATATTCATTTTTAATAAAAAAAATAATTATTATTTTTAAATTCATCTCAAAAAATATATAAAATAAAACATGAGACACTTTGATAAATTTTATTATTATTATCATTATTGATTCAACATTTTTAATAATAATTAAGAAATTACCTTGAATCTTATGAAATATTGACATTTTTAAAGAGATAAGCTCGTCCTGATGTTACACTCATTGAGACCTTTCATTTGAGTACCCACATCAATTTTTCATATATTTTATATATTTATATATTTCACATATACCATATATATAAAATATATAGAAAATGTCATGTAGGTACTTAAATGAAAGGTCTCGATAAGTGTAACATCAAAATGAGTTTATATCGTAAAAAATGTCAATAATTAAGAAATAACATTGTATCTTGTCAAATATTGATATTTTTAGAGATATAAGCTCATTCTGATGTTACACTCATTGAGACCTTTCATTTGAGTACCCACATCAATTTTTCATATAATTTATATATTTATATATTCCACAAGTATCATATATATGAAATTTATAAAAAATGTCATGTGGGTACTTAAATGAAAGGTCTCAATGAGTGTAACTTAAAAATGAGTTTATATCTTAAAAAATATCAATAATTAATAAATTACTTTGTATCTTATGAAATATTGACATTTTGAAAGATATAAGCTCACCCCGACATTACACTCATCGAGACCTTTCATTTGAGTATCCACATCAATTTTTCATATATTTTATATATTTATATATATGAATATATGAAAAATATATCAAAATGCATGTGGGTACTCAAATGAAAGCTCTTGCTAAATGTAACATCAGGATGAGCTTATATCTTTAAAAAATTCAATATTTAAGAAAGTACAGTGCAATTTAACAAAAGTCATTATTTAAGAAACTAAAATTTTACTATTTTATAGTTCACGAGTCACGGAAGTCACATAGTGACTTCAAAGTTGCTAGTAATAATAATAATAATAATAAATTTTAATAAGCTTTAAGCTTAAAAAATTCCACAAGACAAAACATCAATAAATAAAAATTTTAACGGGCCATAAAATAAATAAAAATCATTTTAATCAAACGATAAAAATTAGGTCATAACAATTCTTGCTTATAATGTCAGTGTAAAAAAAAAAAATAATAAAGTGAAGATTCACTTGATGACATTTCATTGAATCTATTTATCTTGATATTACAACATAGATCGTGACTTACTTTAAGAAGAATTACTCTCCGATCCTTCTATTTTCGTAAGCGTGAAAGAATAGTTTTATGGTTTATTATATTATTATAATAATCTATACTTTCATGTTAAACATTGTATCTATTGATTATAATTATTGTTAATTGGCATTTATTTATATCAATTAATTTCAAAATTATAAAAAAAGAAGTTTACCTTCTACGCTCAACTAATTCATCTTTGTAGCGCGTTCTAATTTCATCCAGCGAGGATATTAATTGATTAAATGTTTCTCGGTCTATTACGAGACAGCTGACACCGTCTGGATCATCAGCTACTATGTTGGCTGTTCTCAAATCATCCCTGTAATTAATTTTATATTAATATTAATTACTAAATTAATCTAATAAAATAATATTTTATTTTTTATAATTAATTTTTTTGATATTGTAGAAGAAATATTGGTCGTAAAAAAAATTATTTTAATAAAAATTATTCAAAATTTAATTTTATAAAAAAAAAAATGTCTAATAATTTTTTTTTAAGACCAATAAAAAAGCCGAAATTTTAAAATTAATTTTTTTATAATTCAGCAAAAATTTGAATTATTTATTTTTTGTAAAAAATTGAATTAAAAATTTTTTTTTTTTACAAGTCCAATATTTTCGGGAAAAATTTTTAGCCTAGTAATTAATTGTAGTAAATACCCTTGTAATGCCTTCTCGCCGAAGAAATCGCCTTTGCCAAGTGTCCTGATGTACTTTTCATTAGTTGTATCCGGTTGTTTTATTGTCACGCGCACCTGACCGCGACTTATTATGAAGAAAGTGTCGCCTCGAGCTCCTTGCCGTATTATGTAATCACCGTTATTATAAAATGTCTGGAATATTCATATTAATTAGTAGTGCTATTATTTTTAAATTCAATGTCAAGATAGCTAGGTAACTATATATATATATATATATATATATATATATATATATATATATATTTTTTATTTAATTTATGATTAATAGGAAAGATTTTATTTTTTACCTCTTCTAGAACGTCGGAGATTTTTATTAATGTTTCGTCGGGTAAATTTTTGAAGATAGGTACACTGGAACAAAAAAAAATTTTTTTTTTAATTATGCAGATTGTAAAATTTTTTTAATATTATTAATCATTTATTTTAATTATAAAAATTTTTTTTTTATGATAATTTATTTTATAACTTTTAATTTTTAATTAAATTATGAATTTTAAATGAGAAAAAAAATTTGTTTGTTAAATTTTATAATTTTTTGACACAAAAAAAAACTTTTTTTTTATTTTAATTTTTTTATAGTAAAACAAAAATTATAAATTATAAAACAAAATTTTTTTTTCAAAAGAAATTTTTTTCTTTGTAAAAATCAGAACTATTTTCTTTTTTTTAATAAAAATCTAAAATAGTAATTTATTTTTTTTTTTTTTTTCAAGTTTTGCAAATTTTACATTTTTTTAATTATTTGTAAAAATTAAATATTAAATTTTATGATACTTATTTTAATACACAATAGTGTTATTATTATGAAAAATTACTACTTAAAGTATTTTGTCATTAAAAAAAAAAAAAAAAAAAAATTACCTTTTCAAGAAATCAGTATATTCAGCCTGTCTCGACAATCCAGTTCTCATCATAATAGTCTGGAAGCATTGCCGATCAATGGCCCATAATTGACAATCAGTAGCAGCAGTAATAGTTGCCGTCCTCTTGCAATTATAAAGAATAGCCAATTCACCCAACACTTTAACGGGAGCCAGTGTGCTAAGATACTTTCCATCTCTAGAAACCTCAACTTTTCCCTCTGCAACAAAAGAACCGCAATCAATTAGTCACATTTAATTCAACTTAATCATAATATAATCAATTCATAAACCTCAAAAGCATTAAATTCCAGTTTACTTATTCAGATCCAAAGCAAACAATTTTTATTATACATTTCCTGATGACGCGTTGAAGCCGTAAAAACATACAGGAAATTTCGCAACACACTTTAACCATACATTTAAGCCTTTGTCTTCAATTTCACTCGTGTATATTGATAAATATTATTATACACGAGAAGTAAATGTGCGTAGGACTCGTAAGTTATATTTATAAAGTCCATCTCCGGTCATTAGATCTTGTTTATTATCATTATTATCATTAATTCACGGTTTATTAAACATCCGACTTGTCTGGTTTAATTTACTGTACTTAACATTCATTGCATCGCATCGCCGACAAATACTTTCTTTTAAAAATAAAAAATTCTTACTTATATGCGACACGCCTTTACTAAAATTTATTTAACTTTCCATTTTATTTTATTTTAATAGAATTGTTTTTAAGAAAATCTATATTGTTAAGAGAATAAGCAAAATTTTGTGGTCAGTGTATTTAGATGATAAGTATTTAGGTTGCATTCGAAAATGCTCTATTAAGAAATTACCTTGTATCTTGTGAAATATTGACATTTTTAAAGATATAAGCTCATCCTGATGTTAAACTCATCAAGACCTTTTATTTGAATACCCACATCAATTTTTCATATATTTATATATTTTATATATATGTATATATGAAAAATATATCAAAATGCATGTGGGTACTCAAATGAAAGGTCTTGATGAGTGTAACCTCAGGATGAGCTTATATCTTTAAAAAAGTAAATATTTAAGAAAGTACAGAGCAATTTAACAAATATCTTGTGAAATATTGACATTTTTAAAGATATAAGCTCATCCCGATGTTACACTCATCGAGACCTTTCATTTGAGTACCCACATCAAATTTTTCATATATTTATATATATTATATATGTGTATATATGAAAAATATATCAAAATGCATGTAGGTACTCAAATGAAAGTTCTCGATGAGTGTAACCTCAGGATGAGCTTATATCTTTAAAAATGTCAATAGTTAAGAAATGACAGGTCAATTTAACAATTATCTTGTGAACTATTGACATTTTTAAAGATATAAGCTCATTTTGATGTTACACTCATCAAGACCTTTTATTTGAGTACCCACATCAATTTATCATATATTTATATATTTTATATATATGTATATATGAAAAATATATCAAAAATGCATGGGGGTACTCAAATGAAAGCTCTTAATAATTGTAATATCTGGATGAGCTTATATCTTTAAAAATGTCAATAGTTAAGAAATTACAGTTCAATTTAACAAATATCTTGTGAACTATTGATATTTTTAAAGATATAAGCTCACTCCGACATTACACTCATC